TTCAGGTAATGCGAGGATTATAACTTAACCTAACCTGCTCCATCTACCTACCCAAGGTATAAACACTGTGTGCTGCTCACCCTTCCTTCGCGCAAACTCCGTGTAATAATCGGTTGTGTTGTTCAAGCCGCTCAAGCATGGTGTTGGCGGATACTGCCTGGCAATTTTCACGTGACTCAGATAACAATAAACCAAATCTTTTTTGGGAGGGGTCATTTTGCATTAATAATATTTGTGCTTGTTTTGATGTATATATTTCTTTATATTAATAAACAACTCTCGCACTAGAAATGTACATATTCTTGAACGTCTAGAAAACAACACTTATCGTGATCGACCAGCATTGTTCAGTCACTGGAATGCTGCTGCCTATACACAGTGGCTTTGAAAGCTCAGGGTGCCAGGCAACCGCGGCCCACGCGAGAAACAGCGAGAGCAAAATTTGTAGGAAACTCCCACAAGGAGGTATTGAATAAATACAGCGATACTGACGATGTCGTGACTAAACATTATTACAACGCCCTTAACCTTGGAACATCCACCCAATGTCGGTTAACATAATTAACATTGATTATTTTTGAGGAATAACACGGATTCCATGAACTGCAGGCGAACTTGTAGCCAAAAACAAAGCACACGGACATCACTACCTACACCACGACTCCACATTAATTTTGCCTCACAACTTTTGAGACAAATTATGCAGTTCTAACACCCAGAGCAAATGTGAGACACGGTTGTTCCTCATAACATTTAGATGACAATAGCTAGCAGGTCAAGGTGGTGAGGAAAACACGAAATAAATTACGAAACTAAAATTTTACCCATGATCTACTGTACTAGCTCTTGTCACCTAAATTTTATGAGGGGCAACCGTGCCTCACCTTGCTCAGTGTTAGAACTGTATGTTACCGCAAATTCAGTGGAAATAGTCTACTAACCCCTTGTGTACGGCTTTAGCTAAATAAAATATTAAAAGTAGCGTTTCCACAATGAAAGAGTTAAAAGGGTAAATATTTAGAAGTTGCCACCACCTACTTATATATTGAGTGTTATAGAGGGAGAAAGAAAAAATAAAAATAATTTATTCTATACCGTTTTCATCGGAAATTTATATTTTTCGATTATTTTAATCGATAAAATTACGAACAATATTACTTGTTTATAGTGGCAGACTGCTACTGGAAGAACTTTGAAATAAAGGGAAAATGTGGAGGAAAATACAAAAAACAAACACTAAACTTTTGAAAATCTGACCTTATGTTTCTTACCCTTTAAAAATTCTAAAACTATTATTTTTTTTTACCTCGCTCATGTTTTCGATGATGGTGTTGTTTTCGGCTTTAAGTATGTGTTGTTTTCGGTGTTCAGATGAGGCGGGATCCACATCTCGAAAGTGATTCTTAACATTTTTACACGTTAGGAAACGTTAGGTAAGGTTTGTTTGGTGTTCTCTTTTTTTAATAGTATTTTACCCCACATTTTCCATCTACTTCAAAGCCCTGCCCACTTTGAACAAGTAATATTGTGAGTAATTTTATCGGTTAAAATATTCGAAAAATGTAAATTTCCAACGGAAACATTATAGAATAAACTATTTTTAGTGTTTTCTCTTTCTCTCTATATAAGACTCAATAAATTACAGGAACAGCCCGTTGCTATAATACCTGTATCTGTAAGTGTGCTTGTGATAAGAAGAGATACAGACGAGCTTTCTGTGGTCAAACTGTAAAATTTTAGCTTCGGTCATCCCTATATTTAGATATCCAAATTAACCTAACCTAACAGATTCCCGGATGACCGAAACTAAAATAATACCAGATCAAGGTGGCGAGGGACACACGAAGTAAATCAAGTCAACAAGCACAAGGTAATCGGCCAAAGATGCAACAACGACCCCACCCTCGATCTCGTACTCGTAATCTTACCTGGCTATACTTGGTAAAGTAAGGTTGTATGTAAAGGTGATTGTGATTGGTGGATCTATTTTTGGCTGTATAACTGTCAGGATAAATATTAAACAATGCAAAAGTAGGATTTTTATAATATTAAACTATAAGCTATCTAATAAAGTACTAAATCATACCAACCTTTATTGTTGATGAAACTCCTTTTAGCATTGTGTTCCATCATCAGAAATCCTGAGTGATTGGTAACTAGTAGATTGATGGCGTCTAGCTTCCGATCCCGGTAATTTTTGGCCGGATCACAACCCAGCAATCCATATTTTAGATTTCTAACTTTCTGTTCTCTACTAAAAAGTTATTCACATATCACTGCTTTCTTCATATTAATTTAGTCTCTTGTACGATAACGTTGCACCCATATATCCTAATATTTTTCTGCTTTGGAAGCGAGTGATACAGTATACCCAAACACGGAACAAGCCACACTCTTGCTCGCCGGGGCATGAGTAGCTTAGTTATTATAGGTTAATAATAAAAAATAATAATAAATAAATTCTTCGTGCAACTCAATGTTATACTTTCAGTTACAGTCCCCTGATTATAAGAAATATCTAGTGTTGCACCAAAAATACATTGTTTTTCACTGCTTAAACTTGAGTATATTCCCACCACTCACTATGTTTACATGTCTGTACGTGAAATGTTCCAAATTTCCAATACGCGGCTGTGCGTCTTCTTGTTGAGTGTTTATAATTTCGAGGGACACACCCACCTGGTAATTAGGTGATCATTGTTTTGAAAAATATGCTGAATACTAATAAAAAAATATATCATTGCAATTGCTGTTTGACACTGCAATCGCATTCAGCTCATACGGCCATGTTTGAACTGTACAGTCAACAACGAAAGTCCGTTCGCCTCTCCCCCTGAACCACGAACACAGAGATTCAGACTCATGAATTCGAAATTTTTTTGGACAGAATAATGTATCATTCTACTGCTTCGGATTCACGAGTCTGAATCTCGAGGTTCGTGGTTCAGGTGAAGAGGCGAACGGACTAGAGACGTTGACTGTACTGATCGCTATAAGAACAACCACTGTAAAAAAATATCAAGTGAACTTCTGTGTTTACGCCTTGCCAATCTCACTTTTGTACTTAACTGTGCTGAAATTCCTTGTTAAGTGACCCCTTTCCTCCCTTGTTATCATATATGTACAACTTATGTCATCTGTATATTTTTAGATGATAACTACTTTACTGTATTTGTTAATAATCCGTTAATTATTATTATCTTAATATTGACCAATTTTCATCACACACCTCGTATGTTTTCTTCAGTGTTATAAGCTATTGTGTGTAGAACGCCGCGGCCCTCTCGTCTCTTGTACTCCACTGGTTGCTACTTGTCGTCCTTGCTTTGTGACGTTCACACACTTAATTTTCAGTTTCACACGTTGATGACAGTCACTGTGGGTGACGTGTCGTTCACCACCAGCTGCTTGCTTATTGGTTCAGTGGACTCTTTGTACTGGGGTCTAGACCTGATCAGACCCACTGGCAATGGTTTATATAAGGTTGGGATCTATTAGGGCTGGGAAACATTCCTGCAGCTCCCAATGTACGAGTACTTGTTTGAAAATTTATGACTTTTGACACGTCTGTGTATGTTCACCCCTTCCAACTGTTGCGTTGTATCTTTTGTCAGGTTACCTTTCACTGTGAGGGTTATTTTTCAAGTGCGGCTTGAAGTAATCAGCGATCTTTTCTTGGTCACGTATTTTTTTTTTTGAGTGACATGTATTGTCCAAGTCTCAGCTTTGTGAATATATTCCAGTAGTGGTGAACGTGAGTCAGACGACCTTGTTTGCTCACCGCCTGGTTCGTATATCCCGAAGTGCCGTTATAATGTTTCTTCACAGCTCTGTGATGTGAACATGACTCCATGATGAGAGAGGTTGCCAATCTCCTTTGCTGATATTGGTTAATGTTCAAAAATTTATTTAACCAGAAAAATACAGGTACAAAGTTAACAATATCAACAATATTAACATGGATGAGCTAAGTTAGGGTAGGAGCAGCATTACTTGCACCTGAAAAATACAGTAAATTTAAATCGTGCTCATAGGGGGTTAAGCCATCGTACTCAAGGGGTTAAAGACTGGAATCCATTAGCATTCTATAGACAAATTTAATGGCTAGGTTAGAATCTATTATGACAGTGGGCCCATTTACCATTAGTTCTTGTAAGAATGAGTCACCCCCCTTATTTCATCAATCAAGGATGATGTAAAAAAATGCCCCTCATCGTGTATAGAGGTTGTTTGTTTTATTTTATTTTTCCCGGGGTTAAAGTGGAATAGGTGGAGTAACTTCCGCCAGTAAGAGAGAACACACCCGTGACATAAACACCAGTGACGAAAACTATCATCCGGCGACACCCATCCTATGGACCTTCCTCCATCCGCACGCCACAACACTCACAACACTGGCCCTACCACATCACTGTTTTTGAGGACACTGTGTGAAACGAGTCCAGAAATAACTGTGGTGGAAAAATGCACATGGGTTAACACTTGTATGCTGTACGTGAGCTCTCTTGAGTTATCCTTGGCTAAATCAACTTATTGTTAACTTTTGTTTGGATAGTTGCACTGTCTATATGTGCACGATGAATCAATGTGAACTTGTATGGCGATTTGACTGAATATCTTTACAGTATACCCTGTCTATAAAACTATTTGTCTACCTATCTCATTTTTGAGAGAAAACGGGTAAAACAAAGACCCGCCCAAGCTACTATTATGTGGAGGGCGTCAGCTGGTAGTCAGACAATAGTGAGCACATCCGCTTGGCATTTAATCACGAACTTTTTTCTTACATCATAATCTTCAGCGTGGTGTTCAGTGTAACACTCAGAAAAGATGTTCACAGAACTGACAGACACAGTTCATAAAGAGAGGAATTAACACCCACACACAAGCTGCCACAATTGTAGTACAGAATATCGTCAGCATTGTACTGGTACTTATGATGAGGAATTATGATTAGATGTAAGAAAGAGTAATACCACACAGGGTTATTATCTTGTGTACAGTTCCTGGTCATCACCAGCCTCGGCCCAGTCAAGGAAACCAGTTTGACCCCAACAACCTCGACCACGGAAAACGGTACCTGCTGTATAGTATGTGTCATGAGTTAATGCATGTACTGTTTACACAATACTTATAAAAAACACTCACGCTTTGGCATACTGTATATCCACACGCCTTGTATCGTACTGATCGCTCCAAGAATTCCCCTATCTAACCAATGTAAAACTCATCTGTTTCATGGATTACTTGTGTGTTCATTCCCTGCCTCTATTTACTGATAGATGTATTTGAGGAATTAATACTGAGATTCACAGAGAAGTGGTTCAGGTAATACAGGTGTTAATATATATACAGGGTCCGGCAAAGAAACATGACGGTTTTTAAACAAGGCTGTGCTCGAAACCATTGGAGTTGAGGAAGTGATCTTGAGCGCACGTGCAGTTCAACTGAACTGAGTTGAAACAGAACATAAAGGGATGACGTGGCAGAAATACCTCTCGAAATGACACATCAAGTAATTGGGAATTTTCACTCCCGACTGCAACAATGTGTAAATAACAATGGACGCCATCTCACTAATGTAATTTTTAAGAAGTGATTCTTGTGAATAAAATGCTTTGAGATGTACTGCAGTTTGGTTAATAAATTTAGGTAAAAAGTCAATCTATTTTTTTTCTTCAAAACCGTCAGGTTTCTCTGCCGGACCCCACTATAATCAGGTGACTGTTTTCGGTACGAGGATAATTTTTGTCGGTTTTTAATTATGGTTGTTCCTAGTTATTTCATTTATAATATACTGTACATACTACACACATAAACATTTAAATTACACACACACACACACACACGAGACATCTGCCCTTACCACAAGTGCCACCCGAGTCTCATCGCATCTAGTTCGTTGTTGTCACTGAGTGTGTCACTGCCAGTGTTACTGACCATTACTCACCAAGTGTCAATGTTTCTACAACACACAACTTGGAAACATCAACAACACTCATTAATAGGCTTAGGATAATTATGCATTTAAAAATGGCTAAATATGCATGCAAATATGCAGTAAAAACTGAGAAAATATGCACTTAAATATGCACTTTAAAATAAGTTAATAAATAATAACTACTAAGTTAATAACTCCTTTTCTGTACATTTTCTCAGTGAATTTACTTTCCCAGACAGATGTCGCCGAAGTAGGATTTTTCAAAGAAGGATTAAATACAAAAAACAATATACTGACATAAAGTAATTTAATTAACAATTCTGGAAAAGTTTTCCTTTTAAGAAAATAGAAGAACAAAAGAGTGTCAGGAGGGAACTAATGGAGCCCGTGCATCTATACCCTGCCTGGCTGAACACGAACCCATCACGTACAGTTCATGTCCACTGACCAGCCAATCACGGCCTAGCTAACCACAGCCTGATGTTGAGCTAAATAAACGTCAATTAAGTATGTTCCTTTTGGATATTATGACGCTAAAACAAAATCGCGTATTTTCGATTTTGTATTAGTGCAATAAATGGACTGTTATATTTCAAATATCAGTAATTTCTGCCCCAGCGTTGCTTGTATGCTCGCGAATTTTTTGACCCTTGAGGTTGAAGAATGTTTTATAATATTTTGGAATTTTCCAAATACATGCCTTATAAAACAAAACATTATGAATATGCACTTTAGCTCAAAAATGGCTTAAATATGCATTTGCATATGCACATATGCAAATGCATAATTATCCTAAGCCTACTCATTAGTTATTACTCGTCTATTATTAGTGTACAGCCTGTGCTCTTGATACACTTGTATTACCTACACACCTGTACTGCTGACACACCTGCACTGCTGACACACCTGTACTGCTGACACACCTGTACTGCTGACACCTGTACTGCTGACACACTTGTACTGCTGACACACTTGTACTGCTGACACACTTGTACTGCTGACACACCTGTACTGCTGACACACCTGACATACCTGTACTGCTGATACACCTGTACTGCTGACACACCCTGTACCTGCTGTCACACCTTGTACTGCTGACACACCTGTACTGCTGACACACTTGTACTGCTGACATACCTGTACTGCTGACACACCAGTAATGCTGACACCTGTACTGCTGACACACTTGTACTGCTGACATACTTGTACTGTTGATACACCTGTACTGCTGACACACCTGTACTGCTGACACACCTGTACTTCTGACACACTTGTGCTGCTGACACACCTGTACTGCTGACATATCTGTATTGTTGATATACCTGTACTGCTGACACTTGTGCTGTTGACACACCTGTACTGCTGACACATTTGTACTGTTCACACACCAGTACTGCTGACACCTGTACTGCTGACACACTTGTACTGCTGACATACCTGTACTGTTGATACACCTGTTGGCTACTGCTGAACATTTAGTACCCGTACTGTTAACATACTTCTACAGTTCTTATACTGTACTCGTATCTCTCCCTCACAACGCACACCTGTACTGCTCGCACACCTGTACAACTCACACACTTTTGTTTACACACACACACACACAACAAACAGTGATATGAGCCAACATCACCTTAGCATACAGCGATTCGTCTTGGTTCAACACAAGGTTCATGTAGCGGATCGAGAACATAAAGGTTATTAAACAATATATTCAACATCGAGTCTTGATAAAACAAACTAATCTTGGACACGGCGATGGTAGTCTTGGCTTATTTCACCTTAAGATAAACCACCCTAAAGCTAGCTCAACCTAACCTAGCTTAACCTAACCAAATCCTAACCTAACCTAACCTAACACACCCCCCCCCCCTTTCGGTAGCGTAAAGGTGTCTAATCATCAGGAGAAATGAGCTGGGGGTGCCTAATCTTCCTGACTATAATATGGTGATTGGTAACGATTCCAAATTAGCAAACAATACAGTTAATAACGTTAATAATAATTTTGGGGATTTTATAGAAGACAAATTTTCAGTCTCACTTGTATGATGTTAGTACAGAGCGATGACCCACACAAGTTAGGGCACATGGCAGAACATAATGTGGACCACCTCCTCAGATTCTGTCTCTCATTCTTAGCTTATATCACCTGAAGATTAATAACACTCAAACAATATACCTAGGGGGTTTAGGTTAGGGTAGAGTTAGAGTTAGGTTGGGTCGGGTTAGTTTAGAGATGGTAGGTTAGAGTGAGTTAGGTTGGGTCGGGTTAGTCTAGCTTAGAGATGGTAGGTTAGAGTGAGTTAGGTTGGGTTAGGTTAGAGTTAGGTTTGATTTTGTTAGTCTGATTCAGTTACGTAATAAAGTGAGTTAGATTAGGTTTAGGTAGAGTTAGTGTTTTATCTTAAAGTGAAATAAGCTGGGAGAGGAGGTGAGGGGAAGGGACAGAGAGGGGTGGTGGATGGGAGGGGGAGGTGGACGGGAGGGGCGGGGAGAAGGGGAGGGGGAATCTAAAGGTAACTTACACATTGAATAAATACATTATATAAGAACACTCAGACACTCAAGATCTTCAGTACGTGATGTTAACGAAGAGGATTAGCTAATCTTCCGACCCGGGACGTTCACCCCCACACACCTGAACACACACACAGTGACTGACAGCTCTCCCCTTTCTCCCGCATCTTATTAACTATTAAATACCCCAGCTTATTTCACCTGAGGATACAACAACCACGATAATAATAATAATATTTGAAAAATCTATATAGTTACCAATTTAAGGTATACTGTATAGTTTGTGTGTATAGTTTTTGCATTGAAAATATAGTGAAATAAGTAATTCGCTGATTACGGTCGATGTTGGAGTTCTCAAAAGTTGTAGCGTTAAATTTTTCTCACTACTGGAGATATAAGATGGCACCTAACTGTTACTACAAAAATAACCTCCTCAGTGGAAGTAACATTACCATGGGACTATTGTACCGAATGGAGAGACGTTCTTTGGGGGAGGGGAGGGGGGTTAGAATACAGAAAAAAAATGAGAAAAAATATTAAAATAAAGTTACGTGGCGTGTACTGAGTATATAAACAGTGTGTGTTGTGTTTACCGAAGTGGACGGGTACGTGGTGGACAAGGGGCCTCTTCTCTCCTGCTACGGATGAGTCAGTCAGCCTCCCTCCCTCCCTCCCTCCCTCCCACCCACCCCCACCCCTCTCCGCACGACTAATATCCGCTTAGCTGATATCATTATTATAACACGTAGCTGAGAATATTAATGTACAGTACACAGTCAGGAGGTAAAATTTAACAACACAAGTATGAGAGATACAATACACAAATAAATACTTATGTTCCACCAAGAGTATATGATTCACCGTTATATACTTGGTGACTGGCCAAACGGGCTCCAGTCCTAATAAGCTCCAACCTAACCTAACCTAACCTAACCTAACCTATCCTAACTTCGCCTAACCTAATTTAACCTATCCTAGCCTAACCTAACAACCTAAACTACCCTAACATCACCTATCCTAACATAACCTGATTTGACATAACACCACCTGACATAACACCACCTAACATAACTCCTCTCCCCGGGTACCATTAGAGTGTTTAATCCTCAGGTGAAATAAGCTGGGGTGTCTAAGCTTAAGATAATCCAGCTTATCATTATGATAATTAATACATTACTTTCTCAACGTTATTATTGTTGTACTTTATAGATCACATCTCTTATTATTATTATTACTTGTGTGTGTGTGTGTGTGTGTGTGTGTGTGTGGGTGGTGAACGAAATGTCTGTTTACACTGGCTCACGTCCACACCCGGATGTTGTACCGTTTAAGGAACTAGCGTGATTGTGTGTGGTGGTGTGAGTGCGTGGTGGTATGAGTGTGTGGTGGTGTAGGTGTGTGGTGGTGTGGACGTGTGGTGGTGTAGGTGTGTGGTGGTATACTGTGGGTGTGTGGTGGCGGTAGCGTGGGTGTGTGGTGGTTGTGTGATGGTGTTGTGGGTGTGTGGAATTGGTGGTGGTGGTGTGGGTGTATGGTGGTGGTAATAGTGTGACTGTGTAGTGGTGACTGTGGTGGTAGTGTATAGTGATGTGGGTGTGTAGTGGCGCGGGTGGAGGTGTATGATTGTGTGGTAGGTAGTGTGGGTGTGTGGTGGTATGGGTGGTGGTGTAGGTGTGTGGTGGTGGTGGTGATAGTGTGGATGTGTGAGTGAACTGGTGTGGGTGTGTGGTGGTGGTGGTGTGGGTGTGTGGAACGCTTGGATTGATAAAAAAATATAACTGAAGCGCATTGTAATTAATTGCATAATATTTAGTACAGTAATTGTATTTGAAGATTTAAAACGAAAAATAACTACAGTAATTATATTTGAAACTTGCTGTTCAGTTTTAATTCCATAGAAATTGAAGGATTACCGACAATAGGAAAATATGTTTGACCTATAAATAATGCCTCCGGTTGCACTGAGACGCGTCTGGTACTCGTACGCCAAGGGTGGGCAAACTGGGCATTCTCGGTTCTGAACGTTTCATGTCCAAGTTACCGAGTGGCTAAGAGGGGCGGGCGGACTCAGGACGCGGAGCAGTGTAGAAACAAATTAAGTTTTTATCTGCGTTTTACCAGTCTTATTTTTGTCGAAGATGTTTGATACTTAGGGTTTTATTGTCTTTTTTTAATCGTTATGAATTTTGTGTTAAATAAGCCACAATTTCGTGTGTTTTATGAAAATTTTTCGATTCGTAATAACCCCCTATGACGAGTTATAGTGAAATGAATGTAAATTTGTTTCGCATTGTTTTTTTGTTTATTTTTTGTATTGATCATGATTTGGTCAGGCTACAATTTGGTCTTACTTTCATGCATGGTTTTTTTTTTTTTTGTGTGTGGTGAAGTCCCGTGTGTGGTGTAACAGATGGTGTCTGGGTAGTGTGGTGTGACAAATGGTGCCTGCCGCTGCCTGCCTGAGCCTGGGTAAGTGTGTGCAGTGGTGGTGTGCGGTGATGGCGGTGTGCGGTGATGGCGGTGTGCGGTGATGGCGGTGTGCGGTGATGGTGGTGTGTGATGGCGGTGTGCGGTGGCGAAAATCTTTCTCTGGTCAAACTAGTAATATTGCCATGGTCAAGTTTTACAAGAGTTATGTAGCGCATTTCCTTGACAAAATAAACCGTAATATTTAAAGTCTTGTGATAACTATTTATTGATTAATTAATTTACCTTTCAGATACGACACAAGGCTGAATGTGTCAAGTAATGGAGTGAGGAAGATATGAGAAACTTATCCACGGGAGAACTGTCGGTGTCACCAAGTTTTTTACGTTGACCTGAGATACCTTCCGACCTGTATGACCTCACCCCGTAGTGGTCCAACGAGGGAGGGTGAGGAATCCCAATCTTACCCTAACATGAAGAACATTGCTTCCTCTCAAAATGAAGGCAGCCTCAACCTCTATCCTTGTCTGGAGAACATGAACCTCGGCACACCGCCAGGTTCCCGTCGCAGCAATGTAACCAACAAGAGCGGCGGTGACACGGGCATGGCCACTCCCAGCACCGCACCCCTCAGCCCCCTCACAGCGCGCCGCCTACGTGAGTATTCATGAATACCCTGGATCACGGGGCAGACAGCTAGACGTGGCAGGGTGCGTCGTGCAGCAACTGTGTTATTGTGATTTTTAGTTCCTTTTGTTATTCTCTTCCCGTCTCTTCATTATCCCGTTCTTCTATTTTATCCCCTTCTTTATTATCTGTCTTTTAATTCTCTTTTATATCTGTATTCATGTCTTTTTTTGTCCCCTAGTCTTGTTTGTATTAATGTCCTCCCGTTTCTTCCCTGTATCTTTCTTCCTTTGTTTTCCCCTCTATATATTTTTTTTTTTTATTTGCCCACGAGGGGACTAGTTTATTGGGCACCCCCATCCTGTGCAAGGTGAAGCGGCGCAAAAGCGTTTACAGCGCCCATCTGCGAAGCATGCTATCACCTGTGTCTGAACTCGTCTTGACCTCGTCTTGTTTGGGTACAAAGTTGTCAAGTCATCGATAATTATCACATACACACACCACCACCACCACCACTACACCATCCTCTGCTAGCGGCAAAATCAAAATCAATCCTCGACACCGGCTCCTACTACCACCTGAGATCCCCAGCCCGAGAATTGCTGTTCGACACCACAACCGCATCCAGCCCATACGTGCACGAACTGACCGCTATAAGAACAGCCGAGTCCCAACCATTGTAAAAATTATCAATAACTTGTAATAAACCAGTGTATTCACTCCCAGTAAATACTACTTCTTGCACTGTCACTATGTTGAAATGCCCTGTAATTTGAGCTTTTCCCCATCTAGTTATTATATATCTTATTTGTATCACTTACGTTACTTGTATATTATTTGTAATTCGAAACCCATTCCCCAAATATGTAACTGTATATTTTCAGCCAAGCTCTTTCAATAAACAGTTAATTATTATTATTATTATTTTCACACTCGCCAGCTTGTTGTGTGTGTGACTTCCCTGACCTCGTCTTATGCGCCTGGAACGATTAGCATCAGCTGAAGATTAGACACCCTCGCTTATTTCACCTGAAGATTAACCACCATATCGCTACCTGGGTGTGTTAGATAAAGTTAGGGTAGGTTACTGTAGGTTAGTTTAGTATAGGTTAAGTTGGTGCAGGTAAAACCGGTTTAGGTTAATAAATTATGTTAATTTAGGTTAAGTTAGGTTAGTATTAAGGGGGTTAAACTTAAGGTGATATAAGCTAGGGGGTGTAATCTTCAGGCGATCCGTTATATTAACTCAATACGGAAGAGCTATTACAGTAGATATTATGAACTTATGACACAACAACATCTTCATGCTGGCGAGACATCCTCAGTACTTAACTCAGCATATCTTAATGCTGGCCAGATCGGGCCCACAACATGACGCTTATGAAGCACATTGGTGGAAAGCTGCAGTTAGATAGATAGATAGATAAATTTATTGATAGATGGATAGTAGGTAGTAAGCAGGTACCAAACAGGGAGGTACTACCGCCTGGGAAGATATTGGAAGCATAATGTGTTGTCTAATGGTAGACCCTGCTGCCATATGGCAACACGAAAATTGTGACCAAGTCCCAGGTTGCTGATCTGACTTTCTGCTTCATTTACACACAATTGCAGGGTCTCAATTATTTCTCTTACTATTGACAACACAACATACATATAATGTTTCTCACTTGATTTTTTTCAGTTTTGTATTTCTTTATGGTTCTTTGTTAGTGTTATTATAATTTTTATTTTATTTTATTTTAAAATTTGCATTTAATATAAATTTATTTACTATGAATAATAATAATAATAATAATAATAATAATAATAATAATAATAATAATAATAATAATAATAATTATTATTATTATTATTATTATTATTTAGTATTAGTATTAGTATAATTAATGGCAAATTTTATTATTATTAAACAATTGGAAGGATTAATGCTTATTTACATAAAAAACTGTTCCACACTTGGTGTTTACGGCGGACATGTACTGTACAGGGGAGCTGGGACCTCGTGTTGAGGAGATGACCACGCAGCTGGCCACCGCCACTTCAGGAGCTGGCAAAGTGTTAGCTGCTGGGGTCAGGAACTTGACTGCACAGGTGAGTTATGTATAATGTCCTTACTCTCCCCTCAGCTAAAATAACACCAAATTCATTAACCTTAGCTAAGATGACCCCCAACTCTTTCCCGCAGGCTTAGCTGAAACTCCCCCAAACTCTTATCCACATATGGTAATGACAGACAAATAAGAGTTGGCAACCCCACGCGCGTACTCAACAATATTCTACTGTACAGTACAATCTATATTTCTTGTCAGTCTTTCTCCAGTCTGTTTGTGTATCATACATACAATCGTAGGCTGCTTTATCCTATAATATTTGTATGCAAACCTTTTGTATAACTTTATTTATATTTCTAATGGATAAAAATATGGTGATTTAAAAATTATTTATCACTAAAAGCTGTTCAGTGCGTCAAACTCCACTAATTTCATAAGTTTGTCCTTTCCCCCATTTACGGCTACGTTTTCTATCACTTAGCAACGTAAACTAACACACTGTAACAAGCATGTTCTTCATTTTCAACAGCCATCTTCTCTTCTTGTGGTGAGTATTAAAACTTTAAAACAATTATAGACATTACTCATGGCTAAAAATGTATTAATTAAAAAACTCCACTGCATGTAATTATTTTCATTCTTCATGGGCATGTTTTCAATCGCTTACCATCATGGGCTAATATAACATCATGCATTTTAAATTCCCCACTTTTCATATTTTTATTGTATTAATGAATTATATTATTAAATTAAAACACATTTACTATAAAATAACACATTACACTAATACTAATATTACAAACTAAAGAAAATTTCAGATATAATTTTTGATGTCCTAGTGTTACAAACATAGTGAGGTGTTTTAAGGGCTTTTGTTGTTGAAACGCAGTAATAACATTATTAGAACAACAACTAACCCTTTAATTCCCATGGAATCAATGGTCACTATAATAAGTTCTATAACGTTAGCACGAGAGGTGAAAGAACATTGGATGTTGGTATGAACCTTCTACATGATGCTATCAGTCTTTCATCCTCTCCCACGACCACACACTCAACCTTTCACTCCCCCACGATCACACACTCAACCTCTCACTCTCTCACAAGCACACACTCAAATTCTCACTCCCTCACGACCACACACTCAACATTTCACTTTCCCACGTCCACACTCGACACCTCCACTCCCCCAAGACCGCACACTCAAGTTGCCAACAGTACATAACAGAGAACCACCGACAGTGCCAATAGTGCCTAACAGTGAGAATTGTGAACTCTTGGAACAATGCCAGAGTGCTGTGACGTCACTGAGTGTGAGCTCTTTCAAGGCCAGACTTGACCAACACTGGGGCAGGTTCCTGGGAGATTAGAGCTCCTGAAATTGCCTAGCTTATACTACAGACGGGTAAGGAGAGACTTAATTGAGGTTTATAAACATCCTAAAGGGCACTACTCACTCGAGTGTCCTTTTTTTTTTATTGGGCACCCCCCTACATCCTTGTGTAAGGTGAAGCGCAGAAGCGTTTACAGCGCCCAACAGAGAAGCATGCTACGTTCATGCTTGCCTTTATGTCTCATGAGTTAAGGGCTAACTTCAACTAGGAGCTAATCTGAACTTTTACTTTTACCCTCTTCACCACTGATCAGCTCGTTAGCCACTTGGGCGATCGGTCACGTCTCTGTTACTTTTCCTTTTCTTTTATCCTCTTCACCACTGATCAACTCGTTAGCCGCTTGGGCGATCGGTCACGTCTCTTGTTACGCACTGTTGGCAAGTACTGGGCATGCACCGGCTCCTGAATGTACCTGAACCTGCTCCAGTGTTGGTCAAGTCTTGTCTTGAAAGGGCTCACACTTGGTGCCGTCACAACACTTTCTGGTAAATTGTTCCAACAGTTCACAACTCTCACTCCGAAAAAGTTTGCCCTCACAGTTTTCTGGACTTGCGGCTTCTTCAATCTTGAGCTCTGACCCCTTGTCGGGCGAGTGTCCACCAGCTCCAAGTAAGGACACTCGTCTGAGTAGTGCCCCCTGAGATGCTTATACACATCAATTAGGTCTCCCCTTGCCCGACTGTAGTATAGGAACCATTGAGAACATAAACTTTATCTGATGGGACGTATTTTGCACGAGTCTCCATACCAGCTGGATCACTCCCATGGTTGAGCTCAGTCAACCCGAAGCATCCAATTACTTCTCCTTTCGCAAGTCTGGGAAGATATTTTGTTCTCTGTTCTTCTGTACCAAAGTCCCAGATGGGGTACATGACATGTGATCAGTGGCGTAGCTAGAGTGTGTGCCGCCCGGGGCGGCCCTTGAGTTTGCCGCCCCCCCGTGCCCCCACAAAAAATACATATTGCACAGTGACTCACTCTATATATATATATATATATATATATATATATATATATATATATATATATATATATATATATATATATATATATATATATATATATATATATATATATATATTAAATAGTTTGTGTACCATTATAATATTACTGTACTTTCACATACTCAAATATAGTATGCTTTAAATACACACCAAACATACTTAAACTTTATAAGTAACAGTTAAACAAAAAGCAAAAACGACATATAGGATAGGGAAAAAAGTAAAAAAGTGTAAAAAATTAGGACCATCTTTATTTCTGAAATGAAAACTACAACTTTCTACAAAGTAACTTTTCTTGTTTTTTTGTTGGCAAATTCTTCAATGACATTGTCAAAAACTATTTCATCTGTCAATTGTCGCTCTATAGACAGTATGGCAAGATTTCTCAACCGCAAGGTGCTCATAGTAGATCTTAAGTAATTCTTGATCAGTTTTAGTTTCGAAAAACTCCTCTCACAGGTAGTAACACTAACAGCAATTGTGAGGAAAATCCTCAGCATTATTACTATATTTGGAACCGAGTTCCCAAGGTTATACTTTTGAATAAACTGCAAAAGTTCAAGGGGGCCTTCTTTCCACGTCTGTATTCTGTCTTTAATAGTTATAGCAGCAACAGCAACAAAATGCTGAAGTCTTTTTTTCTCAACGAGGAACTCCTCTTTATCAATGTCGTCGTGGTCGTGATCTATTTGACCCAAAAGTGCCGCCCGGGGCGGACCGCCCCCCCCCGTCCCCCCCTAGCTACGCTAGTGCATGTGATGACTGAACAGACATTGCAGATCTGTAAGCAGAATAGCTAGGCAAGTTCAGGCACTCCAATCTCTCAGGGTAGCTGAGGTGCCAAAGTGCAACCTTATACTTGACAAATCTTCTGAAGCAGTGTGATTTGTTTCCTGCTATTTGAGAAGCCCTATTGATCTCCATGACACTTCAGGCCTCCATTTGTGAAGTAGAGCAGTCATTTAGCACACTGAGTCGTGTCATGACACCGCTTCAGTTAACAATGCCAAATGAATGCTTGTCTGGATTGTGCATGGTCAGTGTGAAATGCCAGGTGTTAGATAGAAAGGAAGCCTTCATTGAAGATGTGATAGATCGTTTTGGATCTGATAAGCTCTGCCTGTAGTACAAGTATTGTATTTATTTAACCATTGACGTTATGTTGCTAATACCTGGACTGTATTTTGAGCAAGTTACCATCGTGACAGGTAGCTAGCATTGGCTATCCCTAGTTTATCAGGATTATTGATATAAAATTAATTATCGTTAGTCTTTAATGCTTAAGGTCAACCCTCTGATAATTTTAGGGAGTAATGAATATGTGATAGCTGTAATAAGTGATATTGCTCATCCTACAGCAATAAAAAATATGGGAACTCAATTATACTTTTTAATACTTTTTGAATAAACTGATGTCAGGTCTTGTCTTGCTTTCTTTCACCCCCTGGAGAACACACACACACACACACACACACACACACACGCACACACACACACACTTTTCTCAGGACAATATACACAACCCCTCAACCTCTTATGGAGTAATATAATTTCAAGTTATTCTCTTAAAGGGCACTAAGACACTGATGGAGCCAATGGAAAAGTCAAAGTTTGGATGGCTTGATGCCCTGATGGCTCTCTTCAGTATTGGGTTGTTCTACTTCGATGTGGTATCTGACATCTTTGTGGCGTATTACATGTACGACGACCCTGAAACTGAAGTTTGGTTCCGCTCTACAGTTCTATTCCTAGGTGAGGAAATGTATATACTCTACTGTATGTGTCTAATTTTTTTTTCGTTCTTATTATCCCATAACGTGTTTTGATAAAGAGTATCCAGAATCAAAATGTATTATTTTTATTCATACACTGCCATTCATTATCTGATTGTGATGTAACATATGTGTTTTGTTACGGTTTCCCCTCTTGCTTCCACGACAAGTTTCCAAGGTAAAGTCCTCAGGTTTAGCATTGTTGTTTATTCATGTGCTAGCATCACCCCTTTGGCATCATGACACTGCTTTCTGGACATCCATCTCACCTCTCATCTTGTGTCTCTTTGACCTCATCCTTCCTTCTCCCTTCTTGTTCATGGACTTCTTCTCTTTCTCCCATCATCCACTTCTGAAATATGCACACATTTTCATATCTTTCATTTCTCATTCTTTCAGTATGTCAGCACCATCTGAGCAAATTGTAGTCAGCTGTTCTCCAACACTCCTCTCACCTCTACATCTTCATATATCTGACCCTCGTAATCTCCACGTTGTCTTCACCCGACACATTGCTCTCAAACACATAATTTCTATCTCTTCCAATGTGTTTCTTCCTCTAACATCAAAGGTATTTTTAAATGGCAATATAATGTATGTACGCTAATGGGATATGACCAGCAAGTTTTTTACTACAAGATTAAGAAAACTATTGTATAATCGGGAAGGTGTAACTCTGGAAATTTACTTTGTTGGATCCAATATAAAACGAGTCAATCTGAAGATTAGACACCCCAGCTTATTTTACCTGAAGATTAACCACACTAATGCTACTGTAATTGAACCCAATCCCCACAGATAGCATTGGGGTGGTTAATATTCAGGTGAAGTAAGCTGGGGTGTGTAATCTTCAGAATGATCTGCAAAATGTATAAATAATCGTTGTGTCTTAACATTTTTATAATTATCATTTCATTCCTCACAGTCATACCTCTGTTAGTGGTGAATGCCTTCAGCATATACTGGTACTGGTTTGATGAACATGTGTGTGAGTCGGAGGAGATGTGTTACATGTTGCCCAAGGCTTCACCCTGTGTGTGGGGCATCAGGATCATCACCCACCTCCTGCTGCAGGGAACTGTTCTCAGGTCAGTGTGGCAGGTCATGAATACCTGTATAAGACCATCTCAGGGTAATGATAGATTGTTCTGCCTATGGAGCTCAGTCATAATATCCAAATACAGGGTATTAACTTATTCCAGCCATATGGGTAAAGGTACAGGTTGTACCTCTCTAGTCCAGCAACCTCGGGACCTGACTGGTGCCGGACCATGGTAATTTCCGGACCATGGAAATTCACCCTCGAAACACCCTACATAAAGCCTAAAAACATAAGACAGGAAATAAATAAATAAGACAAAGTAATACTGTTAAAATACTATTTCAATTACCTTTAATGCTACCATAATTCTGCTTCCAAAGTGAAGTGAGGGTACTATAACTCAAATTACATTTGAGCTACATCAGGGATGTTGGCTATTCGGCAAACTAAAATCGTTCCAGACTACGGGAGTTTCCGGACCACAGAATGCCGGACTAGAGAGGTACAACCTGTACTGTAAATACAGGTACTGTACTGTACTATTTACAGGTTAGAGGCTGTAATACTGTAGCTCAGTCAGAGTTAATATGAAAAAGGTCTTTCCTGGTAAGTAATATCTCTGGTGGCCGGAATCCCTCTTAGCCAGAACTCTACGATAGCCAGAATTGAAATTTGCTTGGAATTTTTCTGGAACTTTCTCTGAATTCCAGTTTTGAGAATGATTTTTCAAGGTTGAAAATCAGGTGCATTTTCTGGAAAATGCTGAGAAAAATTCCTGAAACTCTTTTAATTTTTTTTTCCTGTTCTGGGAGCAAATTCTGAGGATGAAATAATGTGCAATTTCTAGAAAAATCCAAGAAACTTTAAACAGTACGTACAGTACCGGGGAAAAATCCCTTCCGGGGATGGGATTTTTTCCACATTTGAGAGAGACGTCTTGTTACCCAGAAATCTCTCATTCCTGGAAGTGCTCTGCACCAATTGTTCCAGCTATCAAGGATATCACTTATTTATGTAATTTACTAATGCATTCCAAATTAAAGTTTAGATGTTCTTAGTTCAACTACTTTTTATTTTAGAAAATTGAGGTTGAATTTAATATTTAGCTAATGATTCTCAGTTCTTCTTTACAGGTTCAACATTATACTGTAACTGTACACTACAGTACTGTACAATATTATAGTTCAACTACTAATTGCTGGATACAATTTTAAAGGACTTATTGAATGTTCAATTGAATACACATGGAAACTACTATTCTCCATAATTTTAACTTTACCAGTCATTGTGTATTTTTGTGTCATTTTAATGCTACTGTTATATTTCTGTAGCGTTCCTACCTTTCCCAGAGAGGCATGGGTCTGGTGTAGTGTATCATTTTTACCATTTTCCTATTTTTCCTGACTTACTTCTTTCTCAGAAATATAGAACAAAGGTACAGTATTGCGGTGTATTCAGACAACAAGTGTGAAATGTACTTTAATCTCAGTATTACTCTGAGTGGGATGATCATTATGTTTTGTACATGTCTCTGTCCTTCATTGTATCTCAACATAAACCTTCTAGATCAGGTGGCAACCAAGGTGAGTACAGTCGGCCCTTAACATACGCGGGGGTTAGGTAACAGAGATACCTGTGAATGTTAAAAATCCGTGTACTATTGCTGCCCCCGCCCCCCCCCCCCTAAAAAAACCCTGGCCCCCCATGTCCTTATTTACCGTATATACCTGTGTGTAGTTCGAGTTTTTAAGACCAAATTATTTGGCAAAAAATTCGGGGTCAACCTCTAAATGGGTAATAGTTTTGTTAGGTTGAAAATATTTACCAGTAACTACCAGTAAACAATGGAAACGAAGCACCAACGCACCACCAGCTGTGAGTGTCGGTACAGTTGCCAGGGCAGATCTCTTGCGTCATCATAGCAAGCCCAAAGTAGCCAAATGCATGGTATGGTATGCACAGGACGAGGTAAAACATAAAGTATTAATTTTTTAAAGTTTATTTATAGATACTGTACATAAATTTTTGTTCATTACATTTGAAACATCAATCTTTGTTAATTAAATTTGAAACAAAAGAAAACTACGATACCATATTTTCATTAAAATATTATATCAGAAGTATATTTTACCTTAACTGTGACTGAATGAATATATTCTCAGAAATAAATATGGAAATGTAATATTTTGGCCGAAATGACATACATATTACAGTGGAAAGTGGGATAAAATCATGACGAAAACAATGACTTTCGCTTTCTTTCGCTGTTCAAAAGATTTTACCGTAATTGCTTTTCGAATGGTTTTCAGTTAAAAACTGTTGTACTGTATTACAATAATATTCTATCCTATCATTAACCTCAAAATCCCACAACTGAAAACCATTTGAAAAGCGATTACGTTAACATATTTTGAACGAAAGAAAGCGAAAGTCATTGCTTTCGTCACAATTTTATCCCACTTTCCACTGTAATACGTACGTCATTTCAGCAAAAATATTACATTTCCATATTCTCAGAAATAAATAGTAGTTTTGCTGAAACGTAATGTATTTCAATGTAAATTAGGATAAACTACATGAAAACAAAAGACTTTACCTAACCTTCCGATGTTCAAGATATGTTACTCGTTTTTTCAATAGTTTTCGGTTAAAATACTGTTATATTAGTGATATTCTATTCATACTGTGCTTGATATAATACATTCACGGAAATGTAATATTTTTGCAACTACAATGCTGATGTCAACACAAGCGTGGTTACAGCGAGACTGACCGAGTGAGGGAGAGCTATGAGTGTGTGTGAGGTAGCGGGAGCGGGCGGTGTGCAGTGTTCGGTGCCGCGCGCGATTTGAATGTATTTCAATTACTTCAATGTACAGAATATTCCTTCGACTGGGGAATCTGCGTATTTGCGAATCCGTGAATGCTAAACCCGCGTATGTGAAGGGCCGACTGTATTTCAGTCTTTGGTTAGTTTTGAGCAGAATGTTTATAGCTGGGTCATGTCTTACAGGTACATAGATCTGCTTTATAGTGGGATTCAGACTAAAAGGAAAGAGTCATCAGTTGCCAACCATGACTACAGGTGCAATGGCAACCATCAAACCAACAGCTGTGCCCAGAAGAATCAAGTTGAAGACCATACAGCTCGCACTAATGGTATATCATAACTTCTTTTTGTACTTCTTAATTTTATCCTCTTCACCACTGATAGAGTCGTTAGCCGCTTGGGCGGTTGGTCATGTCTCTGTTACACACTGTTGGCAAGTATTGGGCATGCACTGGCTCTTGAATGTATCTGAACCTGCTTCAGTGCTTGTCAAGTCTGGTCTTGAAAGAGCTCAAACTTGGTGTTGTCACAACACTCGCTGGTAGATTGTTCCAAGAGTTCACAACTCTCACTCAGAAGAAATTACCCCTCACAGTATTCTGGGCTAGCATCTTCTTTAACCTTGAGCTGTGATCCCTTGTGGGGCGAGCATCTGCCAGCTCCTGGTAGGGGCACTCGACTGAGTAGTGCCCTTTGAGATGCTTATGCACCTCAATTAGGTTTCCCCTTGCCTGTCTGTAGTATAAGCTAGGCAATTTCAGGCGCTCTAATCTCTCAGGGTAGCTGAGGTACCGTATTGCAGGCACTTGTCTGGTGGCCCTCCTTTGGACATTTTCAATCGACTGACAGTCCTTAGCATATCTCGGGGACCAGACGGGGTGAGAGTACAGTACTCCAGATGGGGAAGCACTTCATTCTTGAAGATCATTATGAGGGACGGACCGTCTAGATACCTGAACGACCTTCTTATAAGACCTAATAATTTAGTTGCCTGATTTACCTTCTTCCCGCAATGGCCCGAGAACTTCAGCTCATTGTCAACATACACACCTAGGTCCTTTTCACATTTAGTCTCAATTAATGCAGTTCCTTTTCCTGCTGGGGCACATGATATGCCTCCTTGCCGTTGGTATGTCCCAGATGCATCCTCTTACACTTCGTGACATTGAATCTTAGCAGCCATTTTTTCGACCATTTTTGAAGCTCACAGAGATCCTTCTGCAGCTCTTCACAGTTTGCTTGGTTCTCAATTTCCCAAAATAACTTGGTGTCATCTGCAAACATTTGTATGGAGGAATGTACAGCGTCAGGCATGTCATTTATGAAGCAAACAAAGAACAGTAGACCCAATACACTGCCCTGTGGTACCCCATTTGTGACGGGTACACATGATGATTTAGTGCCATTAATCACCACAAACTGCTTGCGGTCATGTATTGTACTTCACTTATTTGAGAAACAACACTTTGAATGATAACATGTTGTGTAATGAAAGTATTCATCACAGATATTTCATATACTGTATCAGTTTCCTACACAGAGAGTGATGGATGAACTTAAAAATGGAGTGTTGTGGATTATTGCAGAATAAAGGCAAGAGCATCACTAGAAGAGTACAGTATATAGGTATTTGAGTAAAATCAATAGAAATTCATACTGTACATGGAAGATGGCCAAAGCTATGATTACTGCACAGTACATGTGTGGGAGGAACGTGCCTTAGTGGAGGAGTATGATAGAGTAGTGTTAGGATATGGATGTGTTTAGTGGAGGTTTTCTTTGAAATACCAAAATGTGTAGTTGAACCAGCCAATACAAAACACACACAATACTGTATAGATGTGTAAGTAACTTAATTATCATAAATCACACCTGAAGGTATCAATATATAAGGGATTATGATGTTGAAAGATAACATTGGTTAATAAAATTGACAAGTGTTTGAAAGATGTTTGTGTTGATGCCCTGTGTGTGACTTGCCAGTAATAACATTCATTATTTACCTAATTTATAAATTCAGCATATTCCAAAGAGGCAACCATATGCATCCATTAATTTTAATGTAGGTTATAATTTTCATAAAGTTCAATGAAACAAGAGCATGTGATAGAATAACACAATTTCTTATTTTTCCAAAAAATTTATTGAACCAGAAATATATTATGCACTAGACAAACTGTTTTAAGTTTTGACATCGGTTGTGTTTATGTATAGTACAATACCTGTACTCAAGTGTAAATGTGAGCTTCTACCATAGCACAACATATGGTTGGTACTGTACAGAGAGGGAAAGGGTTTTCTATACACCTGTGATATTCCCAGTCAAGATACATATCATGCATGAATCCATATCCATATATGACTGCAGGGGTGACTTGAAGTGAAATCCATAAGACATTAGGTGCTGCAACTCTGCCACGTCTTGAATGGGGGTATAAAAACACCTTTCCTTGAATTTACTAAGTGAGCACTGAATGACAAAGCCAGTCACAGGTGATATATACTTGTAACTTTGTGAAACACTGATAAGGAGCCAAGTACTTTTGCCTACAGAATGCTTCAGTGATTGGTATACAGGTATTTACATCCTTTAAGCAGCTAATGCCATATGAAAACTCAACAATGTATGTGATAACTGTATTCAGATAAGGTTGTCACATTTGTATATACAGTGGTCCCTCGGTTAACGAGCACAATTCGTTCCAGCAGGTTGCTCGTCAACCGAAAAACTCGTTAACCGAAACCATTGTTTCAATAGGTTTTTGGGTAATTGGTTCCAGCTCACCGAAAATTGCCTAAATTCAACAAAAAAGGTAGAAAAGTACACTTACTTTGAGGTGTGTATGTAGAAGGCTCCTGCATGATGATGATGATGATGATGATGGGAATTAGAATGGGGGTGGAGGAGAAGGGAGAAGAGAAGGCACTGGGGTGGAAGAGAAGTCAGCCCGTGGCACCATTTCACCCATAAAATTTTAGTTCTCTTGTTGTAATTCAAGTTTATTTTCTTTAAATCAACACTGCACTGCATTATATATTGTCAAATTGTAAAATAAATTTCAAAATGACCAATAATTTGCTTGGAAACACAGAAAAAAGCATTTAGTTGAAGAGAGTCTCAAGCAAGATGTTACCTCCACTGAAAACAGAGAGAGACTAACGCCTGTCTGGTGTGTTAACAGGCTGGATGGCACGCCAGAAACTAGTTTCTTTACCTTCAATTATGTTCAATAATTGTTAAAATTACTAAAAAAGTTAATATTAAACTTTTAAAATCATTGAATAGTATAAACTTCTTGATATTTACCAAAATAGTAAGGAATTTAAGCCCTAAAACCGATTACTGTATTGGCGGACTAATACTACAGCTGGTGGACCTCCAAATGCAAGCGAAAACATGTTGAAGTCGGCTCGTAAAAAACTCGTTAATCGAGGGATTGCTCGTTAACCGAAGTTAAGAATCTTATGGAAGGTAAATCGTTAACCGAAATCTCGTTAACCGAGGCGCTCGTTAACCGAGGGATCACTGTACAGCTCCTCCCCGACTTACGACCTACTCGACTTACGACCACTTGCACTTACGACCTGCCTCAGTCGTACCCAAATTTTGTCAAATTACGTATTTTCGATTCCCAACGTCAGTACACAGAGAAAATTTTCTTTTGTAATTCACTTTAAAATGGCTGGCAAGCTTAAAAGTGAGAGTTTTGTGGTGCTGAGAAGAAAAAGAGACACCCATTTTAGATATTCTATGTATTATTTAAGCATTTTCGACACGACCATTTCGACTCACAACCTGGATTTGGATCCCTAACCCCGTCGTAAGTCGGGGAGGAGCTGTACTGTACAGTGGAAGATTTACAAGCTGTTTGTGATACCAGCAATCATACTTAGTTAAGGCTGCTAGAAGTAAAAGGGGTTTGATCTGTAAGTGAGTACAGATAAGAAGTTCTGAGTGTGTTACACATAGACAAGGCGGAAGATGATAAATAGTATGGCCAAAATGTAACCACAGAAGTTGGGCTAACATTTACAGATTCCAAACAAAGTGTGCTGAAGAAACAGAAAGATTGACAGAGACAGGAATAGTGACAGATGCAGTAAGAGTAGCAGAGGCAGGAATAGTGAGAGGCAGGAAGAGTAAGAGAGGCAGGAATAGTGACAGAGGCAGGATGAGTGAGAGGCAGGAGTAGTGACAGAAGCAGGATGAGTGAGAGGCAGGAATAGTGACAGAGGCAGGAAGAGTGATAGAGACAGGTTGATTATTACTGGACACCAATTTTTTTTTTTCTTTTTTTTTAGCTGCACCAGAAAGCTCTATGGATTCCAGTTCTGATTGACGACCTGAGGCAACAATTTTGACATGCCTACACATTGGTGCCACTTATGACTGATTTATAACCATTTAATGTCATTGTTAATACTTGTACTTATTTTTTTGGCAACATCAGGTAATTCTAGCATCAACCCTGCCCCTACAATCGAGCCCCTATGTAATTCCTACCATAGTCGATGGATCCATGCAGAACGAGATGCTGCAAATGTGGATGTTTTGTCATCTATGTTGCAGGATGCTCCTCAGCTCATCCTGCAACTCTATATCATGACTCACACTATCCCAGATCAGGCACTACAAGGTCACATCAGCCAGACATGTAAGTTTTATTTCTGAATGTCAGTTTGTCCAGTTAAAATGTACAGTACAGTATACCAGAATACCTGTATGATTTATTGTCCCAAGATGATCTGTTAATTTGGTGTTATGTATATTAATACTGTAGTTTGATCATTTTTACTGAGCATTTCATGAATTAATTTTACTGTACAGTACCTAGATACAGTATATGATAGCCATTATTGCAGATGGTTTGTGATTACTGTACTGAACAGTATTTTTTTTGAAGCTCATTTTTCTCTAATTCTAGAATTGCTCAATTAGAATAAATAAAAATGTTATTTGAAATCAAAACAAAGATTTTTTGCCCATAAAAAACACATTCTTGCCATATTTTTTTTTCAATCTGATTTCCTTCACACTTGCATTATAGGCACAGAAGATGTCAGCTGATTAAGGATCAAGGGTCAAGATGTAATACTTTTGCTAATGGATTGTGCTAGTTACACACAAACAAAATTGGCTGATATTTCCTGTATTCCTGTATTGTTTTTGAAGTTGTTTCTAGTATGTTTATGTAATTCTGGAGCTACTGTACTACTTAAAGTTTTGAAAAATACTAGTGAAGAAGCAAGGTTTTAAGTCAGGAGATTTTTTGTCCCCCTCACAAATACCTGTAAAAACAAATTCAGTATCTTCAATTTGGAAATTAAAAGGTTTAAATGACTCCAAAATATGAGTACTGTACTATCAAATAAATGTCGCATCTAAAACATAAGAAACAGTTAGTGAAAGTACAGTGGGTTGAATTATCTGAAGAGTCATTAATTAACACCATGTACTGTACTGAGATTTATAAATTTTGACCTCAGATCCTTAATCAGCAACAAGTCCAAAAGTATCCATTGAACATGTTAAAACAATCAATACTCTACAGTATCTACTGTATACATTATAAAATTTGAATAAAATTTGGATTTCTTGAAAAGTAAGGAGCTAGTTATAGTATTTTTTGGGGATGAAATCAAAATTTGTGTTAATATGGTTTGGTAGTTTGAGTTGATCATAATACTAAGTACAGGTAATACAATTTGTAAACACATAGGAAAGAAATAATTAGTGTTTGATATCAGGTGAAAATATTTAGTGCTTTTAGCACAATGACAAAATTTTGAAACCAGTATCTTAAACGAGTTTGAAAATGAGTATTTTCTGTATACAGTGCAGTACAGTATACAGTATTGAGATTTTAATCAAAATGCAGGAAACATTTGATGTAAATATATTTGACTGATTTAATGGGTTGAGTTGAATATACAGTACAAACACCTAAAAATTACCTCAAAACCTGCATGAAGTAAGTAATTACTGCTTAACTATGGGTAGAATTGTCAAGGTTCATTACCACAACATATTGTATTTCCTAAATTTCAACTTGATCAGCTTGTTGAGGAGTAGCCAGTATCAGAATTTGATGAATTATAAATTTATTAAAAGAAAGAACTTTAAACTGGACATTAATGTGCATATTTGGCCTACTGGTCGAGAGTAACTATACTGGTACATCTATAAGTTGTTATTATTCAAAACCTGACAGAGCAATAAATTTGATACTACTGTATTATTGTACCATAATTTTTTTCTGCCAGTGATGATGCAGATACTCTCAGTGACAGCATCTGTGGTAGCCATGGCACTGTCTGTGGGAGCCTTCTCAAAGGCAATACGTTTGGCTCATCCATCTTTAGGAAATCTGAGTCTTGCAGGCCTCCTCTTCCTTTCAATATCTCACTTCTGTTCTATTGCCCCCCAGGTAAGGACACACTTAATTATTAATTTTAATTTATCATTTCCACCATTTATCAGCCAGTCAGGCTAATTGGCTATTTTACTAAAACTTTCACAGTTCAGCATTAGTATGTGAGGAGACTGAAGTACAGGTGCCCAGAGAAAACCTGCAATGTTTGGAAGGGTCACATTTAGATAATATCCACCTCACATCTGACCCAGGGATTTGAACCCTAACTACAATGGTGAGAAGCAAGTGTACTTCAACTGTACCACCAACATGACCAAAATTTTCAAAAGAGGGCCACCCGCTCTGGTGCCTGTATTCTGGTACCAAGGTACTCAAGAGATATAAAAATGCCTGCAGTTGCCTATTTTATACATTACAGTACTGTACTTAATAGACATTACAGTAGAATGTCGATTTAAAGCGATTAGATTTAAAATTATTGATTTAAAGTGACACCCACAATTAAGGACAATGTATTAATTTAAAGCAAATCTTTCCTATTTTACGAGAGTCATTCTGGTACATCATATGGAAATACACTCCATTTTAAAATTCACGTCTAATGTTTACCGCTAGACGCGTCTCTGGGCACACTACACGGCTGTCCGCCACCCTCCCACGCCCTCACGTATCCTCAGTTCTCTCACTGATGCTCTAGTAAACGGACATATTGTTTGACGCTATCTCCTACCATGTGCATTAACCATCGCCACTGTCCAAGAGGCCAGCTACTACATCATTAACTACCCCAAAGACCAAGAAATCAAGGCAAGCAATTACACTGGAATCAGAAAATCAAGGTGCTGGAAGCACGGTAGTGAGGAAATGGTGCTTCAAGTGTGGGGCGCCAATTTGGACAGTGATGTGGATAATAAGCTGGTCTAGTTGGGTTCTGCATCTTCAGAGGATGACTTGCCTAACTAAAGTTGAGTGAAAATCTATTTTAGATAATATAAAGTAATTAAAAAAGTAAGTTGAGAGGAAAGTGAAATTGCTTGGCGAGTTGGACGAGAGGCAGGTGGTACACGGCGCCAGCGTGACCACCCTCTCACATCAGCTGATTGCTAGTAAACAGACCATTTCGCATCCCTTAATTTTAGCTGTGTTGATTTATGAGGGCTTGTTTTAGCATAATACAACAAAAAACAATGTTTTGTTTATTATAGGAGATGGGCTGAGGTGCATCTGGGTAGACCCGCAATCTTTTTAGTATTTTGTGTTTCTTTCAAGTACCAAACTAAATTATTCCATTGAAACAACACTTCAATTTAGTGCGAATTCGGTTTAAAGCGACCTCTCTTGGAACATATCTCGTGTTATATCGACGTTCTACTGTACTGCAAATGCATGCCCAGTACTTGCCAACAGTGCATAACAGAGACATGACCGACTGCCTAAGTGGCTAACAAACCAATCGAATCTAGGTAAATTTCTCGAAATCAATTGCTCGACAGTAAATTGCTTGAAATCAATTGCTCGAAAAATAATTTCTCGAATTATCAGTTGCTCGACAGTAAATTGCTCGAAATAATTTCTCGAACTCGACAGTAAATTGCTCGAAATCAATTATTTAACGGTTGAATACTGTAGCAGTTCGAAGCTCGAAGCACCACGTCAGTTGAGCACTGCGCCTGCGCCGTCTAACGACACGTCAACGTAGCAGGTTATATAAGGAGCCTCAACACTCACCTTAGCAGTCAGTCTTCTAGGGCTTTCTCTCTGGACTGACTTGCCACACATTTTTATTTTTTTATATTTTTAAGTATGAAGAACAACAAAAATAGTAAAAATAGACCCGTTCTTATTATAAACTATGACGAAACAAACAATGTAGAAGAATATTTAAGAACTGTTGTATAATAGAAATGTACCCGTTCTTAATTTTAACTGTTCAATTAACAATAATAAAGTTGTATTTTTTATCTTATTTTTGGATTTTCTTCACGAAACCACTATTTTCGAGCAATCTGCCTTTCGAGCAATTGATCGTTCGAGATATTATTTTTCACGCAAATGATTTCGAGCAATTGATTTCGAGAAATTTACCGGATACCAAACCAATCCATGGCGAAGAGGATAAAAGTAAAAAGTAAAGTATAATCTCTTCAGAGGACATTATTCAGTTGAGTGTTCATACCTGGACTGGCTCCAGAATGCATCTGAACCAGTACAGGAAAGCCTCTGATAATGACGGTTCTACTAATGACGATTCATGTTTAAGACCCTGGTTAATTTGTTTTGAATAACAGTAATGTAAGCCTGGTGTAATCATCCTGCCTATGTGCTAATGATTCTTGTGTGCCTTATTGTGGATGGGTTATCGGGAATATAATTGTCCCAGGTCGAGCATTGAGACTGTAAATATTACTATCACTAGTATAGTATTTGTGTTTGTTATGCGAGTGAACCAGCTGTACTCACAGCTGATATATGCTGGTGTAAGTTTTCATGTTAGTTAATCAAGTAATAGCATGGTACACAAAATAATACTATCATTGTGTGCTATTGACAAGTGTTCAGAGTGACCTTCACTATTGTCAATGTTGTGTAATAATACCCTGAAGGTTGTATAATTATTGAGTGTTGTAAATGTTAACTGAAGATTTATTTTGCTACCCAGGAAGTAAGACATTCTGGTCAGTTCTATTTTTCTAAGTGTCACAGTAAAGTAATCAACTGCATTAATTGACATTGAATGCAAAAAGGACCTGGGTGTGTATGTTGACAATGAACTGAAGTTCTTGGGCCATTGTGAGAAGAAGGTGAATCAAGCAACCAAATTATTAGTTCTTATAAGAAGGTCGTTCAGATATCTAGACGGTCCATCCCTCGTACTGATCTTCAAGAGTGAGGTGCTTCCCCACCTGGAGTACGGTTATCCCATCTGGTCTCCAAAATATGCAAGGGACTGTCAATTGATTGAAAATTTCCAAAGGAGGGCCACCAGACTGGTGCCTGCACTATCAGCTACCCAGATAGATTAAAATGCTGCTTATACTACAGACTGGCAAGGGGGTACTTACTGAGGTGTATAAATATCTCAAAGGACACTACTCAGTCGAGTGTCCATACCTGGAGCTGGGAGACGCTCACCCCACAAGGGGTCACAGCTCAAGGTTGAAGCTGCAAGTCCAGAAAACTGTGAGGGCCAAGTTTTTTGGAGTTAAGAGTTGTGAACTTTTGGAACAACCTGCCAGAGAGTGTTGTGATGGCACTGACTGTGAGCTCTTTCAAAACCAAACTTGACCAGCAGTGGAGCAGGTCTAGATACATTCAGGAGCCAGTGCATGCCCAGTACAGTACTTGCCAACAGTGTGTAACAGAGACGTGACCCAAGCGGCTAACAAGCTGACCAGTGGCGAAGAGGATAAAAGTAAAAAAAGTCTTAATTGAACCTAAGTTTTGTTGTTGTGAGTGAAAGTTCAAATTGTCACAGTATCCATATTTGATTTTAATAAATATTGATTCAGTATAATGTGCATACTGTATCGCCTCTCATTCCTTCTAACAATGGCCATCCCTGAAAATACACTTGATAACTCCTATGCCTAACCTCTCATGTATACCACGCGACCAACTTAATTGAGAGGTTCATTTCGAATGTTAAATTCTAAAAATAAGGCTTGGTTGGTGGAAGCTTGGAGATGTAAGTACAGTAATTACAGGAGTATGTAATAATAGACAAGTATGTGATTCTCCCAGGTTAACCTCCAGAAAGAATCTAATTAAACAAGATAGAAATAAACAAATAAGTAAGAGACACTCAAAGAAATACAGTAAGTACTTTGAGAAAATTAATTAGAAATTAAAGAAAATAAAAACTTAGCAACAAGAACCAAGAGAGATATAACCAAGAAGGTGGAAGATATACAATAAAGTGGCAACAATCAAACATTAAAGATTTGCCCTCTTACACCAAGAGTTCACAATTAACCCCCAAAAAGTTTGCCCTGGTAAATGTTATTTTGTTTGTGTCTGCTTACATTGCTGGTAGCATTGTTGCCAGTTCAACTCATCAGTTGTCACTGTAGCCACATCACTCCCGTATAGTCTGAAACCCAAATTTGGTTTTTGGGTGATACTCAACATGGTGAGCTGCAGAAGGTTTTAACTTTTACTTTTATCCTCTTCACCACTGATCGGCTCGTTAGCCGCTTGGGCAATCGGTCACGTCTCTGATTACTTTTCCTTTTCTTTTATCCTAAGGTTCTTTTCATTAAATTATGCTCTCTAGACAATTTAAGGTGTGATTAGTAAAATTTGACAGGGGTAGCCTTAAGATTTATTAGGACTCCAGTTTCCTCCTGTACTAACACTGGGCAAAAAAGGTCATAAAAGAAGAGACTGATTGCCTAAATGGTTAGTAAGCTGATAAGTGGTGGAGAAATGATAAATAAATTACAAAATACAAATAAAGTTGAATAATTAATTGCTGATGTTAATGGACAGAAGTTCTTAAGTTTCCAAAATATCATATAATTAATACCACTCACCATATACAGTAATTTCATGTGTGTATCCCTTTCATTAATATATACTGGTATCACTCATTGATATATGTACAGAGGTAACTGGAATAACTTTTTTTTCAGGTGTTGTGTTTTGCCCTCTTTGCCAGCAAATACCTGATAGTATTCCTGGCATTGGTGTCTTGTCACTGGCTGGCTAGTAGTGTCTTCATCCTTATACAGGTACAGTACGTAGTTAATTATTCCTATTTTACATATTCAGTATTACATGGATCAAATGAGACATTGTAATGTATGTAGGTCATCCTTTATTCTCTTTGTCTTTCGTTGACATGCCAGCTGTTTGGGTGGTTGTTCATTTCTCTGATACACACTGTTCACACGTACTGTACTGGGCATGTACTGTAGTGTACATACTGTCTCTTGTTTGTACCTGAACATATGCTAGTTTTTGTCAAGTCTGGCCTTAAATAAGCTCGCACTCAGTGCATATGAGATAGTTAACCCTTACACTCCTACAGGGTTTAAGCTAATCAACTCTCACAGATGGCATATTTTGAGGGAAGATAACAGTTGTAAAATTAATGTGTTTCTCTTATAGGGTAGAATGAATAAACACAATTTCACTTCTGTATGGTACTTGGGTTCCGAGATATTTGGCATAGGATCTTGGGGTAGCTAAGGCCACCAAGTGGTATGACTTCATGGGCCGGTTGCATTTTAGTGGTTTTCTCTTTTATTTATTTGCATACAGTCCTGTGAATACCTTCTAAATTTTCCTCTTCAGAATCATCGTCAATGCTGTATATGTATCCATTAGTTATATTTATGTCATACAATATTTTATAATCATTTTACATTGCTGGAAAAATTAATCATAGTAAGACCTCTCCACTGTTTCATAAAGACTAAACTTGACCAATGCTGGTCATTGTTCAGGTATAGTGTTCCACCCCTTGGTAGCCTTTCTGAACATGTAGCAACATTGGAATCATAGTCCAATCCTCTTTACAGATATTACATCTATCAATTTCTTAGCACAAATCTCGAGTACAAATATTACCGAAAAAATATGTTGTTGGTCATATGTTCGGAAAGGCTGTTGAGGGTTGGAACACTATACCTGTGGGCAACTGTACATTCAAGAATCTGTGCATGACAAGTACTGTACTTGCCAAAAGTGTGTAACAGAGAAATTACCACTGGAGGATAAGAGTGAGATTGAATAGCTAGAAAGCCGACTAGTGGTGAAGTGGATAAATGGTAGTAAGTATGTGAGAGGCAGTAGTTTTAGAGGCTGTGTGGCTGCCACATCTATTTTGTTGTCTCTCATGACAATAATCAGTTAATCAGTTTCTCTCTTCTTGATAGCTCGTCTGCAGTCCAGACCCACGTCTCATGGGAACGACCTTCAGCCATGACATTAAGAGGGGTCCGTGCAACAGGCTGGATGACATAGCCTTCAGTGCAGTCTTTGGGCTGATCTTACTCTATACCTTTATGAATGTTGGTGGGAGAGCTCCTAAGATCCAGTTTGGAGTGTATCATTTCTTCAGACTGGTGGAGGAGGCTTGTATGCTTGCATTCTGGTGAGTAATGTACTGGAGGGCAGGTGGTGGTGGTGTTCTACCTTTGGAGGATATACAGTAGTTATTGACCTGGGTAACGGACATAGCAATTTTAGTCGCTGGCATTCTGGATGTAATGGTGACACAGTATAAAAAGATTCATACTGCCGGTAATACAGTACAGCACAGTACGTGTATTATTTTTTTAATAACATGCCAATTTGACTTTTTGAATTTATTTTTCCAATACTACCTGTTAAATATATAATCGTTTTTTCCTCATGATTTTATAATACAGTAATGGTATACAGTATAGTAAACTCACAATTCTTGACTCATTATCGGTTGACATAATATGTGTACTTCCAGGTATCTTGCCACAGATGGTGACATGTGGTACCACTGGCTGCCACTAGTGTTGGTGTCTCTCTCTTGTGTTCTGGGCATCATCTTCTTCTCGCTCTACTACTGCTGTGTTAACCCAGACCGTGACAGGCGATACCTTAGTGTGTGATGGCAGGAAGCTCTGGCTAGCTAGGGAATTATGAAGTAACATTTGATCTTTGCTCAAAGAATTTCTTTGTCTCAGCATCATACAGATTAGGTAGAGGTGTTACTGAAGCATTACAGTAAGTACAGTATTGGGTACCAAACAATGATCCTACCAGTTAGACATGTGAACTATGAATGTCTTTTTGTCCAGTGTTATTAAATGATTGCTGCCAAAAAAAAACCATGGACTCTGTTATCTTAGACAACCTAGTTATTTTTTTATGCTGCAGGTAAATGATCATCTTTGACATGATACACTCATCTTGGCACACAGTTTAAGGTTTTATATTGTACAGCAAAAAACAGAAAGATTAACCCATGCCTTAAATCAGTCAAATGAAACAATTAATTCTGAACATTGTTTGTTACAGGTATAAACTTTCCTTACTGATAATAAAGAAGATATGACAGTATGAAGAACTATTATGAAAATATATTCAGGACAATATTGTATAATGTTTTTGATCTGCTGAATTGTGTCAGCAACAGATTCCTGTCCTGTGTTATATTATGAGGAATAACTCTCAGAAACTGGGAGGAGGGTGTAGTCTGTACAGTAGTAGGTGTGTAGTCTTATTTAAATGGTGGAATATTCTCAAGTTAAGGTTCTCAAGGATGATGTAAGAATTATTCAGTGATACATTTCTTCAGTTCTTATACAACAATTGCAACACATACTTTTTTATATGTATAACCAAGTTTCTTTAGTGTTGTTATATTTAGAGAGTTACATTGTTGTTTAAAGGACTTACTGACAAATATTCCACTTATTACACGATATTTTATATTGTGTGGGTTACATGCATAGCAAAATACATGTAGCTGTAAAGTTTGGGCAAAATAATGACTGAACTGGACACATACAACTCAGTTAACAGATGATGGTTCTGTAATAAGTCTAAAGGCAGCAGCACACTGGGCACTTTTCCTCCCAACTGTGCTGGGCCAACATGGTCCGGATAGCAAAACAAAGCGAAGTTTTTGTCATACTGGCATGTCAGCCAAAACACAACAAAACAATAACAAGGCGTCTAGTTAAGGTTCGCAATGGATCCCGTTACAACAGTTGAGGCCTTGCATGATTATGCTCTAGTTCTTCAATTGCTGAAGCAAGTGAGGCATCTGTAAAAGCTAAAAAAAAGACAATGGGTGCGTCGTGAAGTTTGTTACAAGTGGTGTTGGCTGGCTAGTCAAAGAAGACCCTGAATAATAATTTGATAATACTAAATAAGCTTTAAAGTGACAGATAAATAGAAACACGTCATTGTTTTGTGTTATATTTTAAATTATTATTGTTTCATGATTTATTTCAATTTTACTTAAATATTCAACACTTAATATGAAGTACTTGTACAGTACTGTATATTTTTGCACTAATTCGACCAGCAAAGCTCGCCTCCAAACTGTTGTCCATTTTTCTCAGTAGGCTAAATCCTGCTCCTTGCTGGGCCGTCAGGCCAGTGACCAGCAAAAATGGCCAACATGTTGAGAGGAAAGTGCCCAGCATACCGTTGCCTTAAAACTCAGTTCTCATTAGTGTTGGTGATGTAGGTTAGCTGTCCTCACTGCTGCGGATTCATGTGTAACCTGTAATAAAGTGGTAATGATCTCGCACGGTTGATGGCAAGATGTTACACACAAATACAGTACAGTACAGTACAGTACTTGTAAATATATATAGTACTATACTCTTAGTTTCATGGTTTTTGGTTCGCTACTTATTCAGAATGAACTTATATGGCTGGTCCGTTTGTTTTGGATTAGTAGTTAGATATAACTAAAAGAAAGTTATTTAAATTTAAATTGTTAATAAAATTTACTCATAGTCCAATAAAATTCTAATCTGAATTTACTATTTGCTTTTATGTAACCAAACATGTGAATTTTGGTTAGAAAATAGTTATCATTTAGTGTAGTAAATCATTAACTACCATAGGATAGATTAATACAGTAGGTAGACAGGAATGCCAGAAAGTAGGAGAGACAACCCCCCAGCAGGAATGTTGGAACAAACTTTACTGATAAAGTTTAGTAACTCTGCAAAATTGCCATTGTTTCACTAGAAAACAATTGTCGCAGTAAATAGTTGTCAATGAAGGACACTATCACTGGAAAATATTCTCTAAAATTGGTAAAATAAATGACCCAGCTTAAAAAAGTAGAGGAGCAATTTAACTGACAGTTGTTCAATGAAAAGGCTGTTAAATCACTACAAATATTAACTGGGAACATTACTGGTGATGCAAAGAGGATAAAAGTATAATACTGTACTGTACTAACCTGAATAACACCAGTTTATGAAAGAGGATTACGACTTGCAGTAGGTAATGAATCTGATTAATTATACTATTCTTATATCACCTTAAGATTAATCACCCTAATGGTAACACAACCTCCAAGTAGTATTAGGGTGGCTAATCATCAGGTGAAATAAGCAGGGGGCTATTCCTAAGGTGAGCCAATCAATGGCAAAGACGATAAAAGTAAAGTAAAAGTAACACTCTGGCAGGTTGTTCCAAGAGTTCACAATTATTACTCCCAAAAAGTTTGCCTTCACAGTTTTCTGGACTTGTGGCTTCTTCAACCTTGAATTGTGACCCCTTGTGGGGTGGGCATCTGCCAGCTCCAGGTATGGACACTTGACTGAGTAGTGCCCTCTGAGATGTTTATACACCTCAGTTAGGTCACCTCTTGTCCGTTTGTAGTATAAGCTAGGTAGTTGCAGGCACTCTAATCTCTCTGGATAACTGAGGTGCTGAAGTGCAGGCACCAGTCTGGTGGCCCTCCTTTGGACATTTTCAGTCAACTGACAATCACTAGCACATCTCAGGGACCAGACAAGGTGACAGTACTGCAGGTGGGGAAGCACCTTACTGGGGATTTCACCAGGTGGAGTTGGAGGAGGAGAGTAGACACCTGACCACATTCATCACGCCATGGGGCCCTCTGCCCAATGTCTGTCAGCCTTCAAGGATTTCCCCATGCCTGATCAGCCATCAATCACTGACATCAGGTCCTGGCACGGCCTGGTTAACCAGTTGGCTCCCTTCCTTGCCACTGCACCTGTGATGGAGCTCTTCCGTGAGCTCCTCAAGAAGCCAGTGGGCAAGCGGGTGTATTGGGATGACCAGCTGCGGCTCAAGTTTCGCCAGGCCCAGGACACCATCTGTCAGTTGGCCCGGGACGGCTTGGCGTACGACGACAAATCCAGGCCTACGACAGCTGTCACGGATTGGAGCAGGGAGGGCATCGGCTTCGTCGTCCTGCAGCAATACTGTGCCTGTGCCTTGTCAGAGATGCCCTTCTGCTGCAGGGTAGGGTGGTGGTTGGCTCTGTGTGGTAGCTGACATCTGAGCACGGCCGAGGCCGGCTATGCTGCAGTAGAAGGGGAGGCCCTGGCGGTGGTATGGTGCCTGCGCAAGGCCAGGCTGTTCCTCCTTGGCTGCCCGAACCTCATTATGGTGACAGACCACCGCCCCTTAGTTGGCTTGCTAGGGGACAAAGACCTCATGGATGAGGCGAATCCGCACCTTTTCAGGCTCAAGGAGAAGACCCTGCAGTTCCGGTTCACGGTCAAGTACTTGCCAGGGAAGCGGACCTGTGCAGCTGACGCCCTATCCCGCTTCCTCTCCCTCAGGGTGGCGCCTGACACGGAGGACATGGACCAAGAGGAGGACCTGTGCGCTGCAGTGTGTTCGGTCACAATCGCAGCACTGGATCAGGATGGGTGCATCACTATGGACGAAGACACCGTGTGCAAAGTGGCTGCGGACGACCCAGTGTACCAGATTCTAGTGTCGAGGGTGCTGGCGGGCGACTGGCGCTTCCACAAGTCACAGGAGGTGGCCTGTCTGCGGCCGTACTTCTCGGTGAGGGACAGGTTGGCTGTGTTCAGAGGTTTGGTCACCTACACCTTGACTAGGGCTACGTGCGTCTTGTCATGCCCGATTCCCTCCGCCACCGGGTCGCCGTTAACCTGCATGTGGGGCACCAGGGCCTTGACTCCATGCTCAGGTGGGCCTGGCAGTCTGTCTATTGGCCTGGCATGGAGGGTGACCTGCAGTATCATTGGTCCCGGTGTGCTGCTTGAGACCCACGCCCCTTCCCAGCCTCTGGATTCGTTGGTCTTGACCCCAGCGCCGGACTATCCCTTTCAACAACTGGTGGCCGATTTGCTCCACCTGCAGGGCCACACGTACCTAGCATATGCTGATCAACTCACAGGTCTGCTGTAGATCGCCCACTTCCCCAACGAGGCCACCTCTGGCAAGATCATCGCCCGTCTGCGGGGTTACTTCACGAGGTGGGGGCACCTGAGCAGATCTCCACAAATGGAGGTACCAACCTTGCCAGCGGTGAGATGACGGATTTCTTCAAGTCATGGGGGGTCGAGGTGCGGCTCTCGTCGGCCCACTTCCCCAGTCCAATGGCAGGGCAGAAGCTGGGGTCAAGGCCGCCAAGAGGCTCCTCAGGGATAACACTGGGCCCGGGGGTAGCCTGGACTGTGATATGACATCCCAGGCCCTCCTCCAGTACCTGAACACGCCTCTGCGGGGGGTAAACAAGTCGCCAGCCCACCTTGCCCCCTGCCGTCAGCTCCGTGACGGCGTTCCCATGGCCAGACAGCACTTGCACTATAAGGTGGAGCAGCACTGGCGGCGAGCGCTTCGTATGAGGGAGGTGCGCTTGGCTGAAACCCAGGACGGGATCCTTCTGTTGTGGGGGGAGGTGTTCCACCAGCTGGCTCCCCTAGCTGTGGGCACGCAGGTGCGTGTGCAGGACGCCGCTACCAAGCTCTGGGACAGGACGGACACAATGGTGGAAGCCCGCCCTCACAGGCAGTATGCCGTCAGGTTGACTGGCAGTGGCAGGGTGTCCATCCGCAACAGATGCCACCTGCGATGCGGCGCCACCCCTGTGCCTACCACTCCTGTGGTGCACCACGCTATGCCTCCTGGCCCCCCTTCTGCGGTGCCCTCCATACCCGCGCCCTCGCTCGCACCCCCAGGCCTCTTCCCAGTCGGGCGTGGCCAGGTCCAGGAGAGGCCACAGGTCCCCAGGTTGGTTGGCTGACTATATGGTGTAAAATTAGTTTAGAGTTTTGTTTGTTTGTTTTTTTGTCTTTCTGTTTGACTGGTTTTTTTCTTGCATTATTGTTTTTTATGACTGCATTGCTTTCCTTTCGTTAGTTCAAATGTGCATTGTCATTTCCCTTTAACTTGGGGGGAGGTGTGAGATTATGAGATGGAGTACCATCGTACGATATGTTTTTTCATGTGTGGAGGCAGGAGTTTGTCTGGCAGCTCATGGTTTCTGCTTTATTGGGGGGGGGGGAGATACAGCCAGTGCACATGAAGATTGTATCAACACTGAGTGCATGAGTTGCTGAAAAGAAAGATGGTGTGTTTGGTTAAGACTGTGATACTGAGTGCAAAGCAGAACATTGCACTCCGAGATGATCATTCAGAATGAGATCATTAACGGAATTGGAGAACATATTCAGACCAAGCTGGTAGAAGGTACATAAAAAACCGTTTCTTCTGAATTCTGGCAGACGAGGCCACATACAGCAGTAATAATTGTGGTAGACGAGACTACAGACAGCAGCAATAATTGTGGTAGACGAGGCCACGGACAGCAGCAATAATTGTGGTAGACGAGACTTCAGACAGCAGCAATAATTGTGGTAGACGAGACTACAGACAGCAGCAATAATTGTGGCAGACGAGACTACAAACAGCAGCAATAATTGTGGTAGACGAGGCCACGGACAGCAGCAATAATTGTGGCAGACGAGACCACAGACAGCAGCAATAATTGTGGCAGACGAGGCCACAGACAACAGCAGTAAGACACAACTTCCTCTTGTGTATGTGTGTCAGTGTCTGTATACATATTGTACACTGTATTATAAATCAATAACACTATACGTTATACAGTCTTTGTTTTATTTTATGACAAAACATAGACTGAAATATCTGTCTAAACATACATTTATCCAAGTAAATATTAATTAAATATTGATTAAAATATTGTACAGCATTACGGATTGAGGTGTAAAATTTCCATAGACCTTTTTGAAATCTTGGCTGCACCACAAAAACTGGCGGATTACATTTGTCAAATTTGAGATCTGGATCCGGCCCCGAGTAACACATTTCCGCAACTGTGCAAGGAGTGGAAGAATAAAATGCAAACTTGCGCGAAATCAAGTGGAGTTTGTGAGCTTCGGTGGTGTTAAACCAGATGATGTTCTTCAGGAAAAACCAAGTATTCGGGAAATAGTTATCGCACAGAGTAGGTATCTACGATGGACAGGGGTTTAGAAGATGGCATTGCAGAAGTAGCTGCCTAACAAAGCGATGCTCACGTCTAATAGGTTGTATAAGCTTGTCAAGCTTGACAGAGAATTAGAACACGAAAAAAATACAGAAACAGCGTAAAGCAGGTCGAGAAGGAAACGGGGTATATATATATATATATATATATATATATATATATATATATATATATATATATATATATATATATATATATATATATATATATATATATATATATATATATATATATATATATATATATAGTAAATCACTGTATATCTAGGTATATGCTGATAACCACAAGGAAAGAAGAAAACACGAAGTTCCCAAGCGCTTTCGTGTAATTCACATCTTCAGGGGTGAGTACAGACTAAAGAGAAATACAAACCAAGGTGTATATATACAGAGGAGGGTGAGACCAGGTCCACAATGGTCAGGTATTAGGTAATGACCCTACTAATCTTTAAATAGCACACAACGGTTGGTGGTCAGGTCAGAGGGTAAGGTGACCCAACTTTCTCACCTGGTTA